AACTAGTTCAAGTGAACAGCTGTGACTCCAAAAAATTATTATCAAGCAAAATATCTGAATTTTTATTAACGGATATTTGCGATTGAGACAAAGCACCATTTTCTAGTAGTCTGGACTCATACTTGTCATTCATGTCTAAAATAAGTCGCTGAATTTCTCGTTTTGCATATCCTTGCAAATCAGTAAAACTCCCATTTTGTCACAAAGTTATCCCCTGTAGCCTGACCGCTTTTAGTTTTTTTCTTCTTTCTATTGATACTTTGGAATTGGCATCGAAGATTATGAATTTTATCATTTACTTCTCGAACGGATATGTCCATAACTTCCGATATAGCATCAATGGAGGTTTTTCTAGCCATACGATTTTTATACTGCTCTAAAGAGCAATCCCATAAATTGGAATTGGATTCGTAAAGTTTTATCAATTTTAGTGTCATTTGTCGTGACCAATTGACACTAGCTTTTCTTTTCTTACTTTTTTCTCTACTTCACTCATTGTTCCAATTAAAAAAGTAAGCGACGAACGTTATTTTTTTATGTAAACACACTAGCGACTAGCGTATACCGATTTTGATTCACGAAGAACGCCAAAACTCATGTGCAGCAAGTGAAACAAATATTCCACAAGAAACAAGACGCATATCGCGTATACAAGTTGAAACTTGCCCATGAAACAAATGTCTCGTGAAATATTGTGTCATGAAACTTTTAAAAATATTTCGCGTAATTCGATAGTGTTTCCACTGTGAAACATGAAAGTTTTAACTCATGACACAAAAATTTCATGATAAACTTTCATCGTGGATGCTCACCTTTAGAATAATAGAACCAAAACCAACAGATGACGTATTAATTGAACGAACATGGTGAATGTATTCCGCGCGCGTTTTCCCGCATTATGGTAGGTTAGGTTAGGTTACATTATGTTAGGTTAGGTTCATACATACGTTAGGTTAGGATAGATTAGGTTAGGTTAGGTTACATTATGTTAGGTTAGTTTCATACATACGTTAGGTTAGGCTAATACATACGTTAGGTTGGGATAGGTTAGGTTAGGTTACATTATGTTAGGTTCATACATTCGTATGAACCTAACCCCCACCTGGGTGGGGGGGCGGTGGGCGTGGCCCGTTAGGGCCACAATGTTATTTTTTTTATATTATTTTTTTATATCAACTAACTTTGTATTATTTTACATTTTTAGAATGGCATCCAACACACAGGAAATCAATAATGCTGTGGCATCGATCATGCTAGTGGTCAAGGAGAAGGCAGCAACTTCAAGCGGTAGGGGGCGCTCTCTCAGCCCTGAGTTATTCCAGGCGGACAGGGTTGTGAAGAAGGTCATTCGACAACCTTCAGCTAGGGCGGTGGTCAAGGAGAAGGCAGCAACTTCGAGCGGTAGGGGCCGATCTATCAGCCCTGACTTATTCGAGGAGGAGGACAGGGTTGTCAAGAAGGTCTGTCGACAACCTGCAGCTAGGTCTGGTCCTATTGAAAAGTATAGAGTTGCTTGCAATAGGACTAATCATTATGCAGGTAGTTGGGCAACCGCTCGTAAGAGCTTGAGACCCTCCACGCCGCCCGCAGCAGTAGTGGAAAAACCGAGGGCGCCTTCTCCGGAGGAGCCCGTCGTATTGACTCCGTTGGCGGTGCCGCTTTCGCCGCTGCCAGCAACACCGGCGAATCCTGAAGTGTTGGTGCTACAAGTGCCAGTGCGACAGCCTATCGAAGAGGATAGTGGAAGGTTGAAAACTTTCCTACAGAGGTATAGGGAAGCAGAACAACCGGCAAATGGCTGAAATGGTTAACCGACGGAGAGAATTACAAAAAGAAATGGCCGAAATAGATCGGAATTATGCATCTCTGCAGGGAAGGTGTAAAGCAGAGACCTCTTCGATAGAGCGTACAAAAAATTAGTGACAATTATGGACACTTTTTCCGTAGATTAAGTGTAAATATAAGATTAGTTTCAGGTTAGTTAGGAATATTTAATTATGGTAGTTTTAAGTTTATATTTGTAATTGTAGGAAACAAAATAAAATAAAAAAAAGAAGTGAAATAAAGGGTGTACATTGTTTTGGTTTGGTACACATTGAACAATGCGATGGTTGGAGCATTTTTCTTCACTTCCTCTTATTATTATTATTATTTTTTTTATTTCAATTCCAAGTTCTTCTAGACAAATACCTCACATCAATTTTTGTGTCCTCTAATCACTTGTAAATAATCTCTTGAGAAGAAAATAAAAAACAGGACATGTTTCACAATGGAGTCAATAAGTATAATTCATATTTTATTTTATCCATTCAATTATCTTTCATTGAATATAGCTTGTCATTTTGTAATTCATTCCCACTTAATCCCCACTCCTCCCCCACTACCTTTCAAAAGTATAAAAGTAAGAATTATCTGTTGGAATATTCAGTTGATCAGTCACCTCCAACATGGAACCTGAATCAACTAGCGAACCATACAGCCTCCAGGAGCATCAGACGCCTCACTACGCGTCGATCCAGCAGCGTTTCGTCCACTCAACGACGGCACCTCATAGGATGGAGCATGACAACAACATACCATTGGATCATCGATTGCAGGTGCAATTTGTTACCGGCAGTGATGAAGCGAACCTATCAGACAGCAAATATCCGGATCCTAACGATTGGCGGGGTTCTGAATGGGATTCTGATAGTGATGACCTACTGCCTGGAGATAGTGATGACGCTGACGATGAGTCCGAGGAATTCGAGGATAGACCTCAACCATCCCCAATCCTCATCTAAGATAGTCCTCCACCATCCCCCATCCTGATTGATGATGAAGTCCTCAATTCAGATGACGATATGTAATCGTTTCCTCGTTCCTTCCACCCTTTCTTTTCCTTTCGTTCCACGGAGTACACACTTTTTGGTTGGTGTACACGAGGCACTGCGAGGCTGGGGCAGTGTCTTCCTCCCTCTCCCTTATTAGCTGTTTTTCTCATAATAATCACTCAGAGTTTCATGAAAATCGTCATTCTTGGTGTTTTCGAATTTCAAACACTGAAATGTTCTACATTTACACTTCACCCTTCATTCTTCCACAATGTCGAGTATAGGACCCATCCAGGTATATGAAATAGATTCAATGTCCGATCATTTCAGTACAAACTTCGCTCAATTTCTGCAACGCATCTATGATCTTCCTGATGATTTCCCAGAACTTATAGAACAAGGTATTCGAAAGGAAGTAGATGCAGAGTTTGAGATGGCTGTTAACGACTTAGACAATCTAGATGATTATGCGGACGATGTCATTAGTATATCATCTGATTCAGATGATTATGAGGACGACATCATTAGTATATCATCTGATTCAGATGACGACACCATCATTATTGATTCTGATAATGAGGAGCGTTAGTCCATACCACTGCATGGATTAATAAAAAAACAGCCCTTTTCAGGGCTACAACTGAAGACTGAAACAAAAACAGCTCTGTTCAGAGCTATCATTATACTTTCAAACAGAAACAGGTCCATACCATTGGTTAACATTATTAACATTGTTAACATTAGGTTAACATTATAGTCTCAAACAAAATGCAAGTAAAAGTACCATCATCCCACTCTGTAGTACTCATCATTATATGCATATATATTCAATGATTGACAAATTGCCAACTTCAACTTTCAGTTAAAGTAGTACTCATCATATGCACAGATATTCAATGATTAGTAAATTCCAAACTTCGACTTTTCAGTCAAAGTAGTGATTTGTCATATAATGCTCAGATATTCAAAGACTAACAAATTTCCAACTTAGATTTTTTATTAGTAAAAGTAGTCATTTGTCATATAATCTGTGAATACTACTACAACTACTGTTTGTGTGAATAATGTAGCCCTGAAAAGGGCTGTTTTTGACTTTATTGCATAATATGCATGCTGACACTCTCGTGAAATTTGTGAGGGGTCTTTCACATGCCTCACACCAATACTGACCCAGCTGCATCATAGAGATCGTATCATGGATGTTTACATGTTGATACCATCCGCCGTTATTGTTCCGTATCGAGTAAAATCGAAAACAACACCAACATAACTTTTTGATGTTGCCATCAATCGTTCGGATCTGCACATGCACGTCCATCACGCAATATAAATCCATGGGATCTTCTAACGTGTCGGTGATGTTGAGCATTCGGAGACCGATTCTCAAAGCACCATCACTTTCAGATGAATCAGCTACAACCTTCTTCATCGCCTTCACCATCCACGACCAGCTCATCGATCATGTCATCATCTTCATCGCTCTCATTAGCCTTGTTTTCATTAGCCCCATTTTCAACTTCGTTGACTCCAAGGTCAATCTCCTCTTCATCGTCTCCAACACCTTCTTTAACTATCACTTCATCTAGATGAATGTTGGCATCCTCATCATCTGACTCGTATATCCAATTATATGCATCAATAGCAGATATTCTGTTTAATGCAGCAACTATTTTTTGAGTATTCATCTTGACGTTTTCTCACAGTTGATTTATTTTGGACCCGGATGTCACGCAGGTTGCTATAGCTGCTCCCGTGACGAAGTTGGGAGTTAGTCTTTGTAATCACAAGATCTTCCAACGATGACACGAAATCGCAGTTGGCCCCTGATGATGAATCCGCTTGCTTTGTTTGGCCCTTTTCTTGCAACCAAGTGTTGTCTATCCTTTACACTTGGCTGTACCGTACTGACGAAGGCTAAATATAATGTGTATTCTTTTGGGATGAATAAATTATTCTGATTCTGGTTCCTAATTACTAAGTTGAGTTGAATGTAAGTGAGGAGCATTTCTGACTGAAGTTTGTGTGATTTTTTCCATTGTCTAACTAGTGATTTGGACTGAAATTGTATATCTCATTATGCATGATTATTAGTATAGAAAAATTATGTATGTGCAGAAAATTATTCATGTTTATTGTGGCTTATGGATTGTTAATTCTGAAACTTTTATATGAATGGATTAAATTATATAACATAATAACTGATCGCTTTATTTATGCATCATTACACCTTCAAAGTTGAAGTTCAGACTGATAAATGCGGTCCACTATGTCATTCACTTCAATTTCTTTAGCTATGCTTAAAATGGCTACATCCAAAATCTCGTCAGATATTCTGAAACAAAAATACAATGGTTTGTTTTATGTTTTGATGGGTTCAATACTAGACAATTTATCTTGGGTAATGAATTATTCGAAAATGGAAGATATTCAAGAAACAAAACGAAAAAATGAAATATAACAAGTGATTGCTGACTCAAACAAAATTAACCAATAAGATACACTTGTGTTTCGATGTGAATATGAATTAAACCCCATTTTCTAAGTAAGGAAACCACGAAAACTGATATCTGTGTGTCCAAGATAAGGAAGGCCAGCATGGAAAAATCTGAGACAAAAGGTTGGTGAAATTAGGAAAATCCGCAAGTTCTGAAGGTATTCAAAAAGTACTGAAATTCTATAATTTGTTTTAATTTTTTCTGATGTTATTTAAAACTATTAAAAAAAATCTTTGCGCAACTTTTCAAGCTGTAAAAGATGGCCATTATAGTTTTTTAATCCGACGTTTCGTCTCCAAGAAGTCGTCAACAATTTTAATTTTTTATATGGATCAAAGATAAATTCTAAACTGAACAAACTTCCTAATTTCACTGACTTTGACTTTGTATCTTTATGGTTTTCAATTTTCTAGATAGGGCTCTTCTTATTCCTGAACACAATGTATATTCATGACACCTTTCGCATGGAAATAATTTAACACTTCTACAACAAAACTACAACACTCTAAATTTTGTAACTTTGGCTGCTGATTATCCGAAACGTTCGAATTTAGTAGTATTTTGTAAATTTTAACGTACACTGCACTAGATAATTGATTGACATCAAATTCAACTGTATAAATGTTATGGCAAAATATCGAGTTACAGTGTACTCCAACAAATGGCATTTTTCATTCCTTAATCGTGCGATTCATAAAAGCTTGAAAGTCTGATTTTGGCTTTGAAAATGGTACTTGAGTTTCCAGAAATGAATTGGATTATGCCTGTATTTAAAGACGGATTAGTTCAAAATCTTCCCAGAGTGGAAGGGGGATTAAAAAGTTGCTAAAAAGCAACAAATGTGGACGACCCCAAAGTACTTTTGTTACTCAAAATGTGATGCTCATGTACAAGTGAGTCATGGTATTTTTTGACAGACACTTTTATGGAGGACTCCATTAATAATTTAAATTCGTTATTTCATTTTTAATTATTTCCTTTTATCAGATGTTATTTTCTTATAATGTACCACATTGTCATATAACATTAATGTTATGACATTTGCGTTTTTTGGGCTTTTTGTATTATCATATATGAACAATGTTGTAAGACAGAAAGTGGTGGTTATTATGAATGAGTATATATTTCAAATATCTCTTGAAGATATTTTGAAGTTTTTTTAAATATATTTTGAATGATTTTTGAATATATTTGGAATTCATAAGGTATCATTCATATTTGAAGTTCTGTGGCTCTTAATAATAATAATCTTTATTTAAAATAGGAAAATCCTAATTTACATATATTTCTATTTTTGTTACATATTGGAAATATATGACTAACATTAGATGAATACACTCTGAGGTTGATCACTAAGATAGGCATGATAATATCTCAAGAAAATTGTATCTACAGGTAACAAACACATAACACATATCATACTTGTACATTGAAAAAAAATTTTTTTGGTTTGTTTTTGAACATGTTCAGAGATGGGCTATTTTTAATTGTATTTGGTGATTTGCTGAACCGATCAAAACCCTTGAGAAACAAAGAATTCATGTTTTTTTTGTTTTTTGTTCTGTTTATATATAAATTATTATTATTTCGAGTAAAGTGGTAGTGAATATCATGATGAAAGACAATGTACTGTTCGAAATAAGATGGTCCTAAATTGTTCAATATTTTGTATACAAAAATCATTGTGAAATATAAGTCTTTGGGAAATGGATTGCCAATTAAAAAAATTAATCATAGTAGTAATAGGGGTATCTCTACGGCACTTCAAAATTATTTTCATACCACGAAGTTTTTGGAGTTGAGACAATTTATTCTGATTGAATAGATATAGGATAGAGAAACAGTAGTGAAAGTGTGCCTGAATAATTGACTTGTAAACTGTGATACTTGACTCGGTTTTCTAGGGAGAAATAATATTGTTTTATGAATATACTTAAAATGTTCATCAAATGATAGAGTGTTTTCCATCAGAAATCCCAGATATTTAGTTGAATTAACTAATTCAATTCTTCCATTATCAATGCTGAGGTTAATAATTTTTGAGTTTATTTGGCTGTATTTAAATTTGGTGGTGAATATCATTGCTTTTGTTTTCAATACATTCAGCTTTAGTTCATTCATTTTCAAATAATTGCTGACACTTTCTAGAGTATTATTCATTTTTTGTTTAGCCATTTCGAGGTTCACATCGCTACATGTCAATAGAGTATCATCAGCAAAAAAGGTCATAAATTCAACAATTAACAAACAATGGAATGTCATTTAAATATAGTATGAATAGAAGGGAACCCAAAACACTACCCTGTTAATCATAATCTCTCTGTAGAAATGTACTTCAATTCAGAATTATTTCATAAGCACATTATTAGAAATAAAATATCAGCCCTGATAAAAAAATATTTGCCGAGTTCCATAATTTTGTTAAATCATTGCCTGAAAAAATATAAATACAACTAAATTTCGTGAATACATTCCAATTTGAGAAAAAAATTGTCATACCTACTGAAAAAATATATGGGAGCAATTCAAACTTTTTCAAAAATTATACAAATTTGATTAGGAGGCCATGACAGTACTTGAGCAAAGCTTTCAAATTCAATTGGCTTTTGTAATATAATTTTGTTGTAGAAAAACAGATAACTAATTTATTCTTGAACGAGTGCAATATTTTGTGACCTGAGCTGTCGGTTGTTTGACTTGAAGCCATTCTATGTATATCTAATATTATGATAATCCTCCACATGCACTAACTTATAGTAATATCCAAATTTTTGTGTGCAAGGAATGAGAAAAATATTTTTGTCAACACAAGATATTTATTGAAATTTGCTATCTTGTCACAATTAATTGAAACGTAGAGAGTGAAGGCTATCTACAAATAATTTTTCAGGCTGATACATATGAATTTATTCGATGAAAGTATAATCACACTGTGGCGTTTATACATAGGCTTAAGAGAAAATGTTTACTTACTTTCCCATAAGTTTCCACGGCAAGATATTTGCAGTTCTTCGATAAATGGGAATACTTTTACAATGTTTGTGAAAATCTAGTTTGTACTGAATAATATTCACAGCTAAGTTTTTTGGTAGCATCTCCAAACATTTGGAAGATTTGGTTAATCGTTTCATACTGATAGAAGTTGCTGGTCTCTGAGTGCTCTTGTCGGTTTTATTATTATTATACTCCGTTTGAGTTTGTGATGAAGAAATAGATTTCAGAGGAATGCGTTTCTCGGTTTGATAGTCTTTGTTTTCCAAATCGACTTCGTCTTCCTTAGTTTCTATGATGGGATTATCATCTCTGATGCAAATCAGCTTTGCATTCTTGACGCCTGTGACAGTTATTGTGGGTCTGAAAAAGAGATAAATAATATTTGGCTGAGGTGATTTAATTATAACATAACACATGATTGTGCTTTATATAATAAAAAATCCACATACAAATGCCCATTCGGTGACCAACTCGGGGCATACCGCCTCGATGTGCTAATTTTCGAATGATCCACAGATATAGTGACACGTCATAAGATATAGAAAAGGATGATTACTATATTCTCAAAAAAAAGTTTGAGTCTTGAATTGGTGAAGATATGTAACAACGGCCGTAATTTTTTTATGAATCTATTTTTATGTTTTTACAGAATATTATGACATCTGGCAAATAAACACCGCCCTAATGTATACGTTCTAACACTTTTCCACCCGAAAAAGTGGAATTTCGCCTCTTCGGTTTGGAAATTTGAATGGCGAAAACACAGAATGGGAGCTAAGATAAACTTAACAAGATAATACGCCTCCAGTATCCAAAGTATGATGTACTACAGGGAGGCTTATAGGCTTTTCACTTCTGCCGTACGGCGAATAACCGCTAAACTAGAACTGCCTATCACACTTTAAGTCGAAGAGTCTTTAACCATGAAGCAGCATTGCCTTGATCGAATAAGATGTTATTATTGATGTTAGAAAGTTATTACGTGAAACATGAATCATTCTCGATTATTTCAAGAGCTTCCAGCAGATCAACCGCAGATCAGGTAGAATCCTTCTGGAAAATTATTTATGAGCATTCACAATCACTAAACCTAAACAGTGCAGTTCGAAGCTTTTATGGAGAACCTGAATAGAATGAACTGCGTGAACCGATTATATTGAAATCATTTTGAAGAACCATTTCGGGCTTTAAGAACTTTACTGATACGGGTCTGGATGGGTTAAAATAATTATTGGTAGGAGAAACTACTAGATAGTCACCTCTAACTGGTCAGAATTTTCAATTCTTGGCTGGATGGGAGCAGTAGATTCCGGCTGGAATTGTCCTAAAAACTGTGATTTGTATACAGGATAACATGCTTGAATTTTTGCTATAATTTGTTGACCGGCATCTCTGAAATGTATCTTATATTTTAACGGGGATATGAGCAGAGAATGCAATAGATGTATGGCTGGCTGTAAGGATAACCTGCTCATCGTAAGATGGATAACGTAGGACTCAGCGCAGCATAAGCGTAACCCCTATGATCTCAAACACCTCAAGGTGTTTGAGATCATCATGTATTTGATGTTTTGAGGTACCTCTGTAAGTAGTGAGATGCCTCACTCGCTTCACTATAAGTTGGTCAAAATGAAGTACAAACAAAGCGAGTCATCTATGGTGTAGTAATGCATATTACTGGAGTTTTATCCCAACACCAAACCGTTATATTCAACACCTCGATGCGTGTTTCGATCACCAAATGATCATCAACACAAGAGGAAGATTAAACTAAATATACATACAATGTTGTCCTCATTTATACCATATATACCTCTGCTGGGTACCTGTTGTAAATTAATTTTACATTGTTGCCTTATCTAATAGACAGGTGAATCTGATAAATGAAATATTATTTCAACAAGCTATATACTATTAATTTCATAAATTTTAATTTCGTACATATAATTTCGGACACCTAAAATATGGAAGACCAGAAAAATTAATAAGAAAGTTAATAATAACAGGCATCTAGATGCCTATGAAAGATGAAAATGAGTAAAATTATGAATATTATGAATAACGATGTTGGACCAATACTGAATAGTTTGAATAACTTTTTTCGAGATCAATTGCCCTAACACCAAACTGATATTTTTGCAAAAATATCAGTTTGGTGTTAGGGCAATTGATCTCGAAAAAAGTTATTCAACTTTCACACCAAAGGTTCCAATCTCATCGTTACTGAATAGTTTGTTGAAATATTTCATTTATCAGATTACCTGATAATTAGATAAGGCAACATTGTAAAATAAATTTAGGACAATTAAGACACAGGTACATAGCAGAGGTATTTGTATGTCAAATGTTAATAATAAATAGGGTATCTATGATATAAATAAGGACAACATTGTATGTATATTTAGTTTAATCTTCCTCTTGAAGATGGTCACTTGGTCATCGAGGTGTTAAAAATAACGGTTTGGTGGTGGGATAAAACTCCAGTAATATTTGAAAAATTGGCTCAAAAAACGTTGCTAACTTGTATGCGATAAGTGATATGGGAATTGACACGCTGTTGCAGCACCCTGTACAAATGCAGTCCCGCCGACCACTCAATACATTCGGTTTGAACTTAACTCTCTCTTTATTGAAACAACACTAGAAATTATATCATTCTATTGTTATTCCAAGCAAGTTCGAATAATTATCCATGAAGGGGCAAAAGTCTTTCAATCAGTTCACCATAATGGATGTACAACACTTATTGCAGAACTATTTTTAAACTATGACAAAATACTTCCAAGACTGAAAAATTGTTACTCGTTAGTAATATAGAAGCATTAACACTGTAATGAATGAATAACAGAGTAAATATTTTCGTGGCTATATAATACTCAACATAACGAATAATATAATCAAGGTTTACTGTTCAGATTTTAGATCATGGTGAGTCGAAATACAAGCTTTCCCAAACTTTTTTGAATCAGTCCACTGCACAGATATATTCGCTTTCACATACAAAATTTTATAGGGGTCATCTTTGTGTTGCCAAACAGAGGAGAAGGTACGTATCCACTTTGAACATTCAATATAAACCATAATTCAGATGTGTTTAGTTGGTGTAAGAGTTTCAGAAATTGATTTGATTCTGATTTTGATATATTCTTACATTTTTTCATAATTTTAATGTTTCGGTAATACTGTTGTGGGGAAAAGATGAATGGATTAAGGGATTTTTATTTCTGGTTATATCTAGAGATCTAATTTGATTGATACATTTGAAACTTGCCGAGGGTTTACCCAACTGACCTAACAATCTAACATTTCAGAACTCTGCAGAGAATTGCAAGTGAGTAACAATGGCATGGAATAGTTCAAATTCGAAAGCAATTTGAAAATAATATGAATACTACTATGAATGATAGAGGAGTTGTAGACTCCTATGTTCATTTTTTTTCTGATTGATTCGGCCGTTACTTGATGAAGATCCATTGTAATTTCAAAAACTACACATCAAATCGTGAGGTGTAGTTTTTGAAATTCCTATGTTTGCATGTGCAAAAATGACGAGCGAATGTGAAAATGTAAAGTTAATAGGAATAGAAGAAGTTGATCTATCGATAAAATAACAAGATTAATGAGTAAACAAGTGAGGTGGGTAAAATAGTCTTCGCACCATAATAAAAGTAGTTATCGAACCAAAAGTTTTTTTCCTATTTCGATTTCAAAATAAAATTCTACTTCTAACATCCATTCCAAGTTTCCTATTAGAAGGTAGTTCAGAAATCGAATGAACCTTCATAGTCCATAACAAAGTTCAAGATAAAACCATCTATTTCATTTTAATTGAGGATTTTATTTTCAATCTGTTCAATTTTCGCTTTTTTGCGCATTTGAAAGTTTGAATATATAAAAGCAATTTCATAACAGGATATCACTCCAAATTTTGCCAGAAACCAATAATTTTTTTTCATTTTTACAATCAGAATCTGTAATAATGTTCACCCGCACTAAGTTTATAAGCATGGATCCTTATGGAAAGGTATCTGTGATATACTGAATTGTTGTATAGGACAAGTTCGAAACAATCTGTTGTCGAGTATGTTACTGTTACTATACTTGAATACATTCTTAGATATCTATGACTTTTCTGTTTGGAGTTCAATGGATCAGATCTATTCAACATATTTTTTTGCACATATCTAACATTTCCTAGGAACAATTTCCAACAAATTTTGAACCCGTGACTTTAATTGACTTTAATTTGTACCTCATAGGTACATTGACATTCATTAATTTTAAATGTCATATTGTAAACTTTTGTTAGTTAAATAATTTTAATTTCCATAGATTTCCAATACTTTCCCACAAGGTTTTCATCTTAATTGAATTTTATAGTTTTTGGAAAATTCCTACAGCACAACCTGCACAAAAAACCGTGAAAAATAACCTAGAATCTAGAAATACTAAATTATTCATCTCGCGCGAGAGGTTCCAAATTCTACTTATTAAACTAAATCATTTGTTGATCATACTCTTGAGTTTGCAAGATCTGCATTTCACAATGTGATTATTTTATGAAAAATGTATTAACGAATAAAACACAAATACCTATAGTTACACTTAACTGAATATTCTTTACTTTTTAGTTACTTTTACCTTTTTCATATTTACATAAAGGTTGGATATTTGTATCACAGATTATTACTTATTTTTTTGGGCCCGTTTTACTTTTGGTATAATATAAAGCGTGATTCGTGGTCGGTGGTAGATTAGACGTTTCTGGAAAACCCAACGCAGAATTTTTCTGAAAATTCAACATCTTACATTTCCTTACCTGTTTTATAGATCTAAAATATTTTCAGCATTGCGGCGTTGCCACTTCTATCAAAAACCCCTGGCAACTTTTTTTTTAATAGAACATCCCGTATATTAACACATTTTTGGAATCAATCTTTTATTATAATAGTTTTTTGTTAATAATGTCCAATACCTGTCTCTATCAGTTTTCGAGATAAAAAATAATTTGTGCTGAAAATGGTCCAAAACATAGCCCTAATGGAAATTAAGTACATCAGCAATCTGAATTCATAAAAAGTTAATAGTTTGATGATAGTTTGGACAAACTCGAAATATACAATCAACATCAAGAAAACGACTCCATTTCATACAGGGCGTGCTAAAATTACTATTATTTTCATTATGCATAAAAGTGGTCAAATGGTATATACTCGTGTATATTACTCGATAAATTGGAATATGATGAAGAATGCTTCAAGATGACATCATATCCCTATATCTAAATCATAATGTTTTCTCAATAAAGTCACTTCTTCTGGAAACATTATTTTTTAAGAATTTGGTTTAGGTAGCAGTTG